GACCGGACCCCAAAAAACAAAACAAAACAAGAATAGGCCCAATGATTGGCTTCAAATGAAGAGCTCCACTTCAAGCGCCACAGGCCTACCTCTTCCTCAGGAGAAGTTTTGACTTTCCCATCTCGGACAGGAAAGCCACTGCCAAACTCCTTTGAAGCAATATCAGCTCCATATTCCACTGTGACATCCTCTTCGATGGTGCTTACCAACCGCCAAAACTCTTTTTCAACCAGTTCTGTGGGAACCATCTGGAACATGAAAAAAGGGATAAAGTTGAATTCTTATTCACAAGCTGTTTGGTGACTAGGTGACAGGAATCATTTGAGGACAAATTTGGCTCCATTACTGATTTCAAGCAATGCAAGCAACAATTCTATTTTCCTTTTTCATTTTGCTGCCAGTCCTGGGGCTTGAACTCATGGCCCGGGTGCTATCCCTAAGCTTCTTTTTGCTTAAGGCTAGAGCTTTACCACTTGAGCCACAGCTCCACTTCCTGCTTTTTCTGAGTATTTTAGTGGAGATAAGACTCTCACAGACTTTCTTGCCTAGGCTGACTGATCCTCAGATGTCAACCTCCTGAATACTTAGGATTGCAGATGAACCACCAGTGACTGGCAACAATTCTATTTTCTAAAAGGAATTTTACAAGAAGCATATGGAGTCTATTAGTGTTTAACTTAATTTTTTTTGGGGGGGTTCCGGTTGTGGGGCCTGAACTCTGGGCCTGGGCGCTGTCCCTCAGCTCTTCAGCTCAAGGCTAACGCTCTACCACTTGAGCCACAGCGACACTTGCGGCTTTTTTCCTTTTTGCTTATGTGGTGCTGAGGAATGGAACCCAGGGCCTCATGCATGCGAGGCAAGCGCTCTACCACTGAGCCACCTTCCCAGCCCCAACTGAACTTATTTATGTAAGTGGCTCATGCCTGTAATCCTAGCTACTCAGGAGGTTGAGATCTAAGGATCACAGTTCAAAGCCAGCCTTGGGCAGGAACATCCGTGAGACTCTTATTTCCAATAAACCACTAGAAAACCAGAAGTGGTGCTGTGGCTCAACTGGTAGAGTGCTCGCCTTGAGCTAAAGAGTGCAGGGACAGCGCCCAGGCACAGAGTTCAAGCCCCAGGGCCAACACAAATAAATAAATAAATGTCCTTTTAAATCTTTATAGTTCTATATCAGTGGCTTATAAAATGCAGTCAACAGTATCAGTATCAAATGTAGTCAACAGTATATAGAACAACAGTATCAATACCAACTAGGAACTTGGCCGAAAAGTAACTCAAGTCTCCCCAGCATATTTACTAGTAAGAAGAAGGACCAAGTTCTGTTCCACAGGGCTTCTCACTTAGGAGCCCTTTCTTTCTGACTTCTCTACAGTTAATAAGATTAACCTCCTCGCTAAAAATGCAGTTAAACCATACCATACTTCCATCATGTGTATAAATGTGGATCTTTCCCCTAAATAATGAACCTGTAAAAGGAGGAATTCATTCACTTTACAATCTCAGAATCTAGGCCTCCCATGGTTCCTTAAATTTTAGAGAACCAGAGCCAGGCTTGAATAGAAGCTATTCCTGTGACATACTGCAGATCAATCAGCATGAGAAGAGAAACCACTAATGAAGAAAATACTAAAGAAATGATGTAATTTTGGTAGTTACTGTTTTCTTGTTTGTTTGGTGTTTTTTGTTGGTTGTGAGGCCTGAACTCTGGAACTGGGCACTGTCCCTGAGCTCTTCAGCTCAAGCAAGACTAGCACTCTACCCCTTGAGCCACAGCACCACTTCTGGCTTTTACTGTTTATGTGATGTGCTGCTAAGGAATCAAACCAGGGCCTCACAATGCGAGGCAAGCACTCTACCACTGAGCCACCTTCCCAGCTCCGGTAGTTATTATTTTTTTTGTGCTTTTTTTCCTCTTCCTTTTTTGGTTTGTTGAGACAAGGTCTCATTATATTGTGCAGAATAGTTTCAATCTCATGATCCTCCAGTCTTAGCCTCTCAAGTGCTAGGGATGACAGCCTATACTAATTTTGTTTTACGGTTGTTTTTGCTGTTTATTTTCAGTGCTGGGGACTGAATTTAGGGCATGTGCCTACTAGATGTTAGGCAAGCATACGATCACTGAGTTACCCTGTCCCTTGATCATTGTTTGTTAAGCTATGGTCTGTTTATAATTTATGATTCCTAAAAAAATTCCTCAAGGATTATGTATGTCCCCCACTGACCAGCCTGTAAATCCAAAAGCATAAAAAGTTTGGGTCTTTGGCTCAGTAGTAGAACGCTTGCCTTGCATGCGTGAGGCCCTGGGTTTGATAAAAAGGGGGGGAAAAAAGCCAGAAGTGGCACTGTGGCTCAAGTGGTAGAGGGCTAGCCTTGAGTTGAAGAGCAGAGGGACAGCGCCCAGGCCCAGAGTTCAAGCCCCACAATTGACTTTTAAAAAAAGTTTGTGTCTTAGCAAGATAAAGAGTTTTACTTACTACAATCTCTTTTTATTTAGCTAACTAGGATTGGCTGTGCAAACATCTGACTTCCCAGAACATGTTCAGCATTTTCTAAAAGCAAAAGAGCTTTTGCCTGTCACTTTACACAACAGCAACAACCTCAACAGAAAAGAGCACCAACAGCACCTTGCAGTCTTCCTCAAGGACCCTGAAATCTAAGGACAAAGCTTCAAACTGTCACTTAAAATAAGCTTAATTAGGAGCACAAATGTAAAATAACTAAGTTCTAACCAGGCATGTCATTTTGGTTCATTATTCAAAATCAAGATCATGTTGATCAAATACAATTTTAAAAAGGACAAGGCACAAAAGATCCTGACACCAAGACTTAAGATATGACTGTAGCAAAATCTAGCCGTCTTTTCATAAAACCTATTTAAACTGGTAGGCGATTGTTTTTAAAAGTTTTAATTTTGTTGACAAAGAATATAGCCCAGAAAGCACCAGCAACGAGTGCACAAGCTGTGAAGATACTGCAACTACTGAAATGAACGCTTGTTATTTGCAAAGCAAGTCTGGTTCAATAATCTAGGTGTTTGTTGTAGTTCCTTTCTATGGTGTCTGAGGATCTAGGCCCAAAGGTTAAGGACAGAATGGTAGAAAGCTGAACTGAGCAGTGCTGTCAGTTACACCATAGAAAACAGAGCCAAACCAAAAGAGAAGGGGTGAACAAAGTCTGAGTGGCAGAGAATTGACCCAAAACCTACAGGCACTTCGTGAGTCATCAGTGTGTTGGGGTTCATGATGGTCACCAGTTGATGGAGGAGATCTGGCTGGGAGACAAAGAGCTCTGGAGCTAGCTTCTTCATTACATTTTCCAGCTGTTCCGCAGCATACCCTGGGACTCCATACCAGGTTTTTGGCTCACCCCTGAAAAACAAATTTATAAAAATCAATCAGTCTGAAGAGGTGACATTGTCTGAAAAGAAATATAATCTTGCTAGGTGTCAGTGGCTCACGCCTGTGATCCTAACTACTCAGGAGGCTGAGATCTGAAGATCATGGTTCAAAGCCAGCCCGTGCAGGAAAAGTGCAGGAAAAGCCATGAGACTCTTATCTCCAACAAACCACTCAGAAACCTGGAAGTGGCGCTGAGGCTTAAGTGGTAGAGCACTAGCCTTGAACTGAAGAGCTGAGGGACAGCGCCTAGGGCCAGAGTTCAAGCCATGACCAACAAAAAAATATAAAAGTAAAATAACAAATATGCAACACCACACCAAGGAAACAGCTAACCTGTTGAAAGCTTTCAGACTTTACTCTGTAGGGCTAAGGAACAAACGTTCAAAGCAAAGTATCACTAGAAACATGAGTGGAACCTATGGAATGCACTTCCTCCCTTGAAGCAGGAAGTCTAAACATGAACCTTTCCACCTAAGCTGCTTCTCCTCACTTCCATTTTCACTTGATCCCTGAAGTTTCTAAGAACACAAAGTGCTGTGTTTATCACAGCTCTGAGGTTACCACAACTCTCTACAGCAACTGATGAGGGCTTTTCAACCCCTGTCTTCCTGTGTGTTGCCCTTACTGACAAGCAGGGTAATCAGGATTCCCATAAAGCCCTGAATTCGCTCAAACACCTCATTGTCAACACATTAATCTGTAACATCCCTGTGAGGTATGGAAACTTCCATCCTTTCTTTACAGCTGGGAACAGTTGCCTGGACAAGGAGAGCTAATGCTGCATCTAAAGAAGGTCCCGTCCGGGGCTGGGAAGGTGGCTCAGTGGTAGAGCACTTACCTTGCATGCCTGAGGCCCTGGGTTCGATTCCTCAGCACCACATAAGCAAAAAGAAAAAAGCCAGAAGTGGCACTGTGGCTCAAGTGGTAGAGCGCTAGCCTTGAGCTGAAGAGCTGAGGGACAGCGCCCAGGCCCAGAGTTCAGGCCCCACGACCGGACCCCTCCCCCACCAAAAAAAAAAAAAAAGGAATTATACATCTAGTTTCTCTAACATCCATGCTCCTTTGCCTGGCCCAGGCCTAACATCTTCTCCTTCATGTTATATCTTAATTTCATGGGGGAAAAGAACTAAAATCTTGATATCCAATTTACAAAATAAATCTCATGATTGCATTTTAACTGTAACACAAAGTAATAGTCCAATTGACTGCTTCATAGTAAAAACTAATCTTCATAAAAATGACAATTTTTAGATTTTATTTAAAAAATCAGTAATCACAGTACTATAGGAAAATATTTAATATAGATTACCAAAATCGTGTATGTAATTCCATTTGTTTGAAATAGAAAAACTCTTGGGAAATATACACCAAGACACTAACAGGGGTTATCTAGAAATGTGTTTTATGACTCACCATTTGTAAGTTCTTACAGAAAGGATGGAATGCTTCTCACAATTGTATTACTTTTATAAAGTCTTAACTATTTACAAACCGTCCTCTTCATCAGCTGCCTGCATAGACTTCACAACTAGACCTCTTCTCCATTCAGGTTCAGCACAGTTTTGTTCACAGGCTTTGTTGTTACCCATGGCCAAACTGCAAACATAAAATACTGCAAATGCAATTTCCTAACGCTACCTCTGCCATTCACCCTTACCTGAGCCAAACACTTAGGACACCTCCAGTCTCCCTTAGGAACGTCGTGGAGCGGTGGGACCAAGCAAAAGGTGTGGTAGCTGTCATCGCAGCCGTCACACAGGAGAAGCCGGTCCTCATCATTGCCACTGCCACACAGGAGGCAGACATACAGGTCCACCTGCAACAACCAAACAAGGCGGGGAAAGAACACGAGCTGTTCATTGATTTGAGCAATTTTAGGGAAGGAAATGTAACTGAGACATCATTCAGTCTTGCCATCCTGCTTCAAATACAACCTCTCTATAAGGGATATATTCCTTTTGTTTCATTAGGATTTTTTGTAGAGATTAAGGATCAAAGCCATAGACTGCATGTTAGGCCAGCACCTTAAATTGGGCTCAGAGATATTTTAAAGTGTGTCATTTGGGCACTAATGGTCATGCCTATAATCCTACCTACTCAGGAGGCTGAGATCAGAGAACTGAGGTTCAAAGCCAGTAGGGCAGGCAAATCTAAATTATTTAATTTATCCAATTAACCAGGAAAAAAAAAAGCCAGAAGTACAGGCATGGCTCATGTTGTAGAGTGCCAGCCATGAGTAAAAAAGCTCAGAGAGCAGAAGGCCCTGAGTTCAAGGACAGTAGTGGTACTATTAGAAACTGACTAGAAAAGATGTTTCCATAGTCAGATACTAAGTCAACCAATCCTGATTAAGACACAAACGTAAGCTTGGATAAAAGGGTTTCAAACAAGGAACCGGCAGGATGTCCATGGCAAAACACATACTAGTTACTCAGAAGACTGAGATCTGTGGATCATGGTTCCAAACCAGCCCAGGCAGAAAAGTCTGGAGACTCTTATATCTAATTAACTAGAGACACACACACACACACACGCACGCACGCACGCACGCACGCTGTTCTTAATGGTGCTCCTCCAAAATGTACACACACACACACACACACACACACACACACACGCTGTTTTTAATGGTGCTCCTCCAAAATGTTTTCTTTCCAGAAGAAAACATTGAGAGTACTTTTTTATTGTAATGGTGTTGCTGTTTTCTGAGGTTTTGTTGTATTACTTTTTTTCTTCAATCATGGGAGTTGAACTCAGGTGCTGTCCCTGAGCTCTTTTGCTCAAGGGTAGTGCTCTATCACTTTGAGCCACAGTTCCACTTTTGGTTTTCTAGTGGTTCACTGGAAATAAAGCGTCTCATGGACTTTCCTGCCTGGGCTTGCATCAAACCTTGATCCTTACATCTCAGCCTCCTGAATAGCTAGGATTACAGGCATGAGCCACCAGCACCTTGTTCTTTCTTTCTTTGAGTGTTCAGCCTTCACAAGTTCAGATTACAGAACTTAGAAAAGTAGTTGTTGCTACTGATACAAAACATACTGTTACAGTGGTTCTTTATCTACACACACTCCCAGCACCACATACACAATACATGCCATATGCATATACACATAATTCAAATTTTTTGAAATTATAGCTGTGCTGTAAACTTTTTTTTTTTTTTGGTCGGTCGTGGGGCTTGAACTCTGGGCCTAGGCGCTGCCCCTCAGCTCTTCAGCTCCAGGCGAGCACTCTACCACTTGAGCTACAACACCACTTCCTGTGCTGTAAACTTTGGAAAGAAGTATCCCAGGGCTGGGAAGTTGGCTCAGTGGTAGAGCGCTTGCTTTGCATGCATGAGGCCCTGGGTTTGATTCCTCAGCACCACATAAGCAAAAAGAAAAAAGCCGGAAGTGGCACTGTGGCTCAAGTGGTAGAGCGCTAGCCTTGAGCTGAAGAGCTGAGGGACAGCGCCCAGGCCCAGAGTTCAGGCCCCACGACTGGACCCCCCCCCCCAAAAAAAAAGAATCTACTGAGTTAAGTTGACAGGATGCCTGGCCAGCAGCAGTGAAAACAAAAGGGAGAAGGCGAGAGGAAGATAACCCCTAGTTCTGTTCATAGCTCAATGAGCAACTTCTCACCAGTGCAGGTAGTTGATTGAATAGCTCCAGTGGTCTTCAATGTGCCAACAGAAGGAAGAAAAGCACATTCCCACATACAACCAAGGGAGTTTCATGCCACATATATCAGCAGTGATGTGGGCAAGGACAGACTGCTCCATCACAGGCATGTTGTTCAAATTCCAGCCACTATCAAGATATTCCTAAAAACAAGACGACACAAGACGACAGGGTTCAGCTACATTGTGCTGACATCTTAGAGCTTCAGATACCATGTAAAGAAAAGGACCCATGAGGGGAAGCCGGGGGACCCCTATGCCTATGTCAGGATGACCATGAACTCATTTTGTCTGGTTTGGGCTCCATGTAAATGAACTTGTACCACGCATATTTTCATAGCTACCTCTTTTGTGGGATACACAGGAACATAAACCATGAGGCTACTTATATGAAGTTGGAAATTAGGCAACCCAATGTATGCCTGGAAATCTGTGACAATGTCCTGCAAAGACAATGGTTGTCTGGAAAGAAGGGGAGTATAAAGACTGGGCAGGGAGCTTCTGGAGTTCTTGTCCAAGTGCTGGTTCAGAGGTTGCGTTGGTAAAAAAAAAACTATCAAACAGTACACATCTGATTATGTACTTTTCTGTGTATATATATCTTTTTAAACTTTAATCTGACCTTTAATCTTCCTAAGGGCATGATAGTATGGAAAACAATAGACTCATAAACAAAAACTTCAAAGCCAGCCAGGTGCTTGTGGCTCACATCTGTAATTATATAGTTACTCAAGAGGCAGAGATCTAAGGATCACAGTTTGAAGCCAGCTCAGGCAGGAAAGCCTGTGAGACTTTTACCTCTGACTAACTAGGAAAAAAGTTAAAAGTAGAGCTGTTGCTCAAGTGGTAGAGTACTGCTAAAAAGACCAAGCTGAGTGCCCGTGGCTCATGTCTCTAATGGTAGTGGAGCTGTGGCTCAAATGATAAGAGTGCTAGCCTTAATCAAAAGAAGCTCAGGGACAGAGCCAGGTCCTGAGTTCAATCCCCAAGACTAGCATGCGTGTGCATGGGCACACACACACACGCACGCACACACAC